TTTTTTTGAGATGGAGGCAAACAATCAGATGGATCAACTGATGATAAATGACAAGTGTGTTACCAGCCTTTATAAATAAATCATTCTATTTTTTTGGGATAAGCCGGTTACCGAGCAGACGGATCACCTGATGCCAAGCAATCGGCGTCGCCCATGGACACCTGAAACACCAGAGGTGTTACAAGTGCGTTACCGGCCTTTTGTAAATTGCGAATTTGAGGATTGTGGGGGATTCAGGGATTGGGGAGACTGGTGGGGGTAAATGGGCCTCCGGTAACCTCACTCACACGACGAAACACAACGCTAGCGTTGTTCACGTCGGTTTTCTGTGAGCCCGTGATATGACTCCGGTCGAGCCGGCCAATTCGTGCCGAAATATGGCTCTCCCACACTTGAAATGGAAAATATTAAATCGTCAACACAATAAATCATAGAGATCATGTTACATAACATTCTAACTACATATATATTAAATAACAATACAATTACAAATTAAATACACATTATAATATCTAAATCTAAACTAAACTAAAGAGAATAAATACGATTGGGTTTAATATTGTTATTGTAAGACACAGAGTTATGAAGACGTTGATTTCAGTATTGAGCATTTTTCGTTAGTTAGACAATATTAAGGTAATTCGAGCACCAATGCAAAAGGAAACAAATTAATGTATTACCAAACTGCAACAACATTACCTAGGATCACTGATAATTGAAATCTAAAAACTCAATAATATTTTGTTTAATACGTTGCCCTACAATAGGACTTTTCCTGTATCGTGGGTGCGTTTACAAACATACAAGTTCACAAACACATGCCACCCAGACCCGTAACAACAATTTATGGATCACACAAAGAGTTGCTCCGTGCGGGAATCAAACATTCAAACCCGCTATCCGCGGCACGGCAGCTTGTTGCCCATCTACCGCCCAACCGTGACGTCAAATAAATAGATATGACCAAACTTAAGATCTAAGGTTCAATCAATTGATAATCTTGAAACCTGTGTCTCAGTAAAATTGGAAATGCGAATTAAATACTATAGACCATCACCATATTATAACAAAATACATGTCAGATTAATTAATTATTACATTATAAACAAAAAGCATAAATTTAATTATTATTAAATATGAAAAAGTATCACTATTAGCCCACAATATATTGCTTACACTTAATTAGACTAAATTGCCACATTATTTTGATCCCAGAGTAAATATTATAAACATTATAAACATGTACAACTAAGATGTAATTAAAACTAAACCCTTACTTCAATAAAAAAAAACACTTCACGTTTTATTGTCTTGTCTCCATTATATTTGCACACTTATCACTTGGAGCATAAGTCACATTTTCCATTGTCAGCTCACAGTTCACTCATGTATCACAAAGTTCTGTGTGAAGTTGTTGTGTGTATCACTTTAAAGGCGTTATGTAATCATTAATAAAAGAGGTTTTAGTTTAAATTATAGTTCATAAGATAAGCCGAACTTATTATAATGTGATAATTCGAATAAGTACTGCATTGTTTCCAAGGCATTTCTTTGTAAGACTGTATGAGTAAAAATTCACCGAAAAATGGTTTAGATCAACGATGACACTTTATCAGGAGTGAAGTTTGAAGACAGTAGTTTGTTCATGAAGATGCATTGGGATTATCACTTTAGTTAAGCTAAATTAGCCCTTACAGCTATTTGTTTCTTTCCCATAAGTCGTTCTAACGTCGTAGTATTAAAATGTTCCCATTTGTTGTAACATTTAACTACTCAAATACAGGTTGTTTAACCTCTGGTACATCGGGCCGTAGATCTACGCGAGACATGCGTTTTCTATTGTGTCTCATACATCGACAGACAAGAGGTTAAGTTTAATACATTTTGCCAAACAAAATAATTACGAAAAAATTTCATTTTATAAAAATACGAAAATAATGACGAAATAATGTTCAATTCATCAAAATACCTTGAACTTTGGAAACATTCGATTTTCGAAATTATAAAAAGAAAAAAACATAGCTATCTCCTGAATTTAAATTTAAATATGACTCATTATTATATCGCTTACTACGTTTATAGACAACGCGTTCACGTTTATTTTAATTTCATTTACTGTTTATTTAATTCGGAATTTATATTTTAACTAGCTTCCGCGCTGTATAAATTGCCGATTTGAAATCTTTATTTAGATTATTTATACCATTTGGATATAGTCTCCAAATACCAATATAATTTTTGCCTTTTTTATTATGTTACATCACCTCTTTTAGCCTCAAATATTTTTGGTACACACCCATTTTAAAATTCAACACTCAATATTCACCAGCTATGCATCCCATAATCCCGCATAATGAGGGGTGATCTCTTTGCACCAATAACCGTCCTCCTCCATTCATCTCATTCCCCATTTAAGGAAAATCTCCATACCTTGTATGGGCATCATCTTCTTTCTCTCTCACACCTCATCAATTCTTGGTATTAGTAAAAGAGATAAGAGTATATCCATGTGTTTTCTCCTGGGCTTACGCCGGAGCGCCTTGATATGGTTCCTCCGAGGGCTGTTCCCGGTCTTCATGGGTCAGGTCCTCTGTTGAAGTAGCTCCAGGTAGTAGAATGTAACGAGCTTCCCTGTTGATAGAAAATTGGCTTTGTGAATTTAGGATTTATAGTTATTCTACTTGATAGTAAGACAGATTAGAGTATTATTAGAGATTCAGTATATCTTGAGGGGAAATTTGAAAGATAAAACTATGGTACCTTGAAATTTTTTGTATGTGTATATGTGTGTGTTTGTGTGTGTGTCTGTCGACTGTCAAATTACAGAAATTGTGTTTATCACTGTCTTTGTAAGCATTCGCTATTGTGGCGTAGTCCATTAAATAAATATATCAATATTGAGGTGTAGTCGTTTAAATTAATCAGAATAATTGTAATCTTATACGCTAAGATACCTACGTTTATCAAATTTCGAAACAAATAAATACCTATATTCGACGATATTATATTTACTTTGTTATATATAATTAGATAGCTATTTACTTTGTTAATTTGTCCATTTGTATCTACAATCGCATTTCTATCAAAGTCAAATTGGCATTGACCTTGGATAACATTTCTAATATTTAATACTTTCTAAAACATTTCTTAATTCTATGGCCGTAATAGGTTCACTACTTATCTATTAATAAGGGTGAAGTCACACTGTATTATTGCGTTGCACCACCTTATCGACACCACAGTAGGCCCCTCTACCGGGATGTCCCTCGACAGTCGTAAAAGCAATTACTCATTTAGTGCTAATGATTTCCGAAGATTCAAACTGAACAACAATATTTAAGATGGCAACGGTTATTTTGGTGGAAGCAAGTGGGTGTGTCTTATTCTAACTAACTAAAAGCCACCCCGTTCCTACTTCTGCTTTGAGTCGGTGTCCCGGCAACCGTTAAGTCCTCAGCGACTCCGTATCGGCATGCCACGACGCTTAGAAAAGAGTGAGGGAGCGACGTCACATCACATTGGCAACTATTATTTGGGATCCAAGTTAGTCCCGTTGAGTTCTCCGTTAGCTCTGGAGTTTGCCTGGCACCCGCTACCTCGACTATGTAGTTAGACTGGCCTGAACTGGTAGCTACACAGTTTGATGCTGCACGCTTGAACTCACATGAAAAGATGCTAACAGACCTTCATGTTGCAAATGAGCTATTGACTTCTCTTATAATTATCATGTATGACTTTCCATTTAACAGTGTTATCTTTGTAATAGGTAGGTATCGTTGCACGCATTTTCTAACTGTCAAGGACATTAATAGACCTTTGCAGATAACAGCACTTTTCTTCTCATATCATCAGTTCTATTTGACAGTATCATTTTATTTATATATCATTATCTAAGTTAGGACATGTCATACCAATATCGTACGTTAACCCTTCTAATGTACTGATAGTCGTGACGTTGTCTTCAAATATTTATTCATTTAAATTATATAAGCATACGTTAAATAGATAATCATGAAGTTATGATACTGTCTGTATTGATTCTCTACTCTAAATAATAAATCAATGTCATTTGGTTAGTTCATTAAACTCCTTGTTGATATTTTCCTTTATTACTTCGATTCCTGATTTATACTAAGGGAAGATTTAATCGGGATACAAAGTATCACCCAGCCCATAGCCTATCTGTATACCAAATTTCATCAAAATCTATTCAGTAGTTTCAGCGTGAACGTCGAACAAACAAACAAAGAAACTCTCACTTCTAGAATATTAGCATGATAGGTTTTTGTTTTAGTAACCGGTATAGTTGCAGTTATGTGTCATATAAACATCTGCGCATATTGTGCTTGCCTTTTTAACTTGTCAGAAGACTATAAATACAATAATTCGTGGGATTTGAACCCACAGGCAAACCAATAAAATCCCATCTATCTGATGAAATACTAATAAAAATTTCTACAATCTCTTTCTTTCTCGTCAATCCTTAGTTTCAAATTCATCTGTCAGTAGTATATCATATTCAATAAGTGTCCTTTTTTAAGGGGGGAAAATCATCCAATGATTTCTCCCGCCTGGGGTTGGCGAGAGAGAGTGTCAGACTCTTACTGACTAAAAACCACCCCGTTCCTACTCCTGCTCTTCGAACCGGAGCCCCGGCAACCCGTTAGGCCTTCCACGGCTCCAGTAATATTATAAATGCGATAGCTTGAGGATGTATGTGGTTATATGTTACTCTTTCACGCAAAAACTACTGATTGGATTTAGATGAAATTAGGAACAGAAGTAGATGATGATCTGCAACATATAGGCTACTTTTTATTCCACAGGATGCTGTGCGAAGCCGGTGGCAGTAGCTAGTTTATAATAGTTTGAAGTAACAGAAAACATCCACAGCTGGCGATGCGCTAATGTGTTATGTGTGTGATTTCTCATGTTCAGTAGTTATGCTATGTGTCTCATAAGATAAGGGGTGATTTCAGGGATATAAAAATAGAAACACAGCCAAACCAAGATTAATTTATTAAATACCATAAACAACCTTAACTTAATTAAACTCTAAACTAAACCTACTGCAATCGTACATAAACTATAGAACTGAGATTATAAACAGTTATTTCATGTTACATAGTGTTGTTGTATGTCGATAAAGGATAGGGATGGGATAAATCGACACTTATTTTAAGGATGGCAATCAAAAACAGCAGTGATATTTATCATTTCACATTTTAATATAAAATGTGTTGTCATCACAGATCCTTGAAACGATTAATGACTTTGTCATTTAACAAAATAAAATATCATTAATAAAAAAAATTGTAAATAAAATGTTTAGTTTTCAACCTTTTTGCATATCACTTACGAATATTAAAAGTTTTGGTCGAGCACTGTTTTTGTGTTGTTTCAAATTATAATCAAATAATAATGGGAGTACGCAAGTTTTTGAAACATGCTTTTTAACTATTTGGCTATTTAACTTTTAATCTTCATAAGATTGAATAGGACTATTAATAGAATCACGAAAAAATAATAACACAATAATAGTCCCACGAATATCATAAATGCTCTAAATACAATAAAATCAGTCTGTTTATCATGTTTTAAACAGTAATAATAATAATATTTTGTTGGGCAAAGTATCTTAACCAATAATAATAATTTTTCAAACATTTAATGTCTTGGATTCGATTAAATAAATATACTATTACCTAAATTTGCATTGCTTAATGGTATCCCAAGTTCAAAATACAGATTATGGCAGTTACAGATTAAAAAAGGACATCAGAAAAATGGCATCGTTTGAAACAGACTTTGATTTTTTCTTAAAAACATTGGAAACAACGGAACTGATATTTTAAATAATCGGATGAATACTGATCGCAATATTTCATGGAATCGAACTAAATAATCTGTCAAAATAAAATCGATAGACGTTAAAGCATTGCATGACTTAACATAATTACTTTATAACTTAAATTACTAAAACAGAAAATATTCAAATAAAGCTAGAATCAGACATCAGCAACGATCTGAATGTTGTAGTTCAAAATTAAATCTTACTGGAGTTACAATTAGGTCTAAATTAGTGTGTGGAACAGGTCCTGGATAGATGTGGTCTTCATCACGCTTTGACGTCCAGATCATACTTTTTCTCATCGGCATGCCTAAAATATAGGAAGAAAAGGTAAAAAGCTGGCCGGGGTCTTAAATATACAGCTAAGATGGCGAAACTTTTAAGTTTATATTCATTAACATAAACAAAAAAAAGTTAATATCAAATTGAATGTCAAAGTATTAATTTAAACTTTACTCAAATTACGTTTTTATTTACTTGTTGATTCTATTAATCTAATTTGTCATATAATCCAATTACAATTTACTTTTTAGCAATAATACTAATAAAAAAAAATCTATCGACATTAGTTCGCCACCTCACTAGTCTACTCTACACCAAGCCATTGTACCAAGGTACCAAGAAAGTAAAGATATACAGCGTGTGTTAAATTCGCCTTATACATACCAATCGTGGACCAAAACAAAATACTCCCTCCCCTCGCTACTGCTCGACAACTCCGACCCTTCGTCACTACTGTTAACCCTCACAAACTCTTTGCCCTCTCTGAAATTATATACCACAAAAAACGTTCCTTCATCATTGCGTATAAATCCGCCATTTTGTATCCCATTATGTCGTGCCGAAAGCGTAAAGCGAAATGGTTCCCGATGATGTTGGTGATAATGTTTTTGTAATCGTTTTGTTGTATGAGTTGTTTGATTACAAAAAATATTTTAGTTTTAATTTTAAGTTGATGTTTATCGAATGAGTTGATTTTTCGTTACACTGATTTTAACACGATGATCTGTTTAGTACGTCTTCTTCTCTTTCTCTCTTTATTCGACGTTTTTCTTGTAGTTCTTTTCTCGCTGTCACGTCACTATTTCTTCAAGTTGAGGAAAGCGCCATCTTCATTTTGTTCCTAGAAACTATCTTTGTTTCTCTTTCTTTCGTCTCTGATTGACAGTATTTCCATCGCTTTCTGCTCCATACTATGTGATACTTCTTCGTATTGTTGTAATATTGGTTTGTCGCCCTCTTGGAGTTTATTTTAAATATAAACGGAAGATAGACGTATCAAGAAGTGAGTTAATGTTTTAGCGTTAGTGAAAACAAGACGCTTATTAAATAATGTTAGTTCGAACCACCACCGCGTAAGATGTTAGCGGAAGAAGAATGTCATAGAGTTCCATTCCGCGTTACATCTTGTTAGTAAGCACCGTAGAACTATAATTGAAAGGAGTTGTCGTGTGTAAAATTGCTGTTTTATGTTTTTTTTTTTAATATGAATGATTACTTATAGTAAATGATTACACCATTTTTGATGAGATTCCCAGTTTGGGACATGGAATTTGAACGATATTATTCTATTTTTAGTAATTTTGTCAACATTCACAACACTGAACATTCTATTAATATTTCGTTCAAACTCTAAATCCCCTCATAAAAATAAAAAATAATAAAAGAAGAAAAAATATAAAGATCCGATAGAAAAACTCAAAAGAAAACACTTTGTACTCAAACCATATTTAAAAGTAAAAAAAATTAAATAAGAAGCTCACACTCAAACTCAAAAAAATAAAATAAATGAAACACGACAACTCCTATAATAAAAAACAAAAAGAAATATAAATTTACGTACCTATAGAATACGTAGTGTTGTAGAAGGAAGAATATATCGAAGACGAGACTGAACAAGCCGAGGCCGAATTTGGTCGCGTCGCCGAAGAAAGAGATCCAGTCGTTGTAGTTATAGGCGTTCAGCGCCATCTGTAGGATAGACAGGGAACCTCCAACGAAGTCTAGGAAAATGTTGCCAATGCTCCAGCCGACTGTTGATTTGCGTTTGTAGTTCATGTAAGCCTGAAAAGGAGAAATATAAAACTAAATAAATATGAATGCTTATATAGGTACATATATACATACACAATCTTCTGTTATCCGATTGTAACACCGTATTACTATTCAAGTCTTAATTACCTACTATACTTAAATATTATGCTTATACTACATTAAATACTCGGCATTAGAATTTTTAATCAATAGAATAAAAATGAATGTTCGTTCGTTACTCATACTAAAACTCAACTAAAACAGCTGAACAGATTTTGCTAATTTTGGCCTTGAAATGGAAGTCCAGGGAATGTTTAAAAAGTGAGAAAAAGCTTTAGGCGGTACGAAGTTTGCCGGGTCAGCCAGTATTATAATAGTAAATTAAAATGACAAGACCTACATGTCAAACATTTCTAATAATATAGTCTGATTTAAGTAGCCACATAAACTAATAAAAACAATTGGACTATACACGCTGACATATTAATGGTTGTTTTCCCGCAGCAGAACGATTTCCCTTTAGTAGTACTATTGAATAATGCAAGTTACTTTTTGAAAAAATAATTTTTTTTCTCCTCATATACTCAAAAAAATAATCATCAACTCGAAAGCATGAGAAACGATAGTTTCTCTTCTAAAATGTGACGTCAAATCAATGTTCATAGTAAAATAATCTCTCGGACTAAGTAATACAGCATAAACTGCAATGCACGCGCGCGCGAGCGGATCGCCTCACGACAAACAACAAAGGCAACCACCGCGCTCTCTGTCACTCGCATCGGCCCGCATCGCCTCGCATCGCTTTCATTCACACCAGTCGCACCGCGAACGCCGTCCGCGCAACCACGCAAGCGCAGTACAATATTATTGCCGCCAAAATGGATCGCCATTACGTTTTTTCTAATGTGGAGTACGTAGCTATGGTGCAATTGTACGCGAGGGCGAATTATGATTTTTGGGCTTTTAATAACCCACACGTTATTCGGGAATGTGCGCATCAAGTGCGGTTTAGTGTAAACGTGTGGGCCGGTATAATAAACGGCTGCTTAATTGGTCCGCATTTTGTGACAGGACACTTAACCGGTGAAACGTACCTACAAATGCTACGTAGTGTTATCCCGGACTTACTAGATGACATTCCGTTAGCAGTGCCCATGGATGGCCTGTATTACCAGCACGATGGTTGCCCTGCGCATTATCAGCGCGCCGTGCGAGAGCACCTCGACTCGGTGTTTCCCCAGCGTTGGATCGGTCGTGGCGGGCCAGTGCCATGGCCACCACGAAGCCCGGATCTTACTCCACTAGACTTTTATTTGTGGTCTAATCTCAAACGCCTTGTGTATCGGCAAGAGTACGAAACTCGCGACGCGTTAAAAAGTGCGATAGTGGACGCTTTTGATGTGATTAGACGTGACAGAGACACATTATTAAAATTGAAAGCCAATCAGTTAGAACGTGCACGATTGTGTGTGGAACGCGGTGGCTTACACTTTGAACAATTGCTCCGTTGCGGGAAGTGTAAGTACTTGTACATTTGTAAATAAAACAATAAGATAGGTGAGTAAATACGTTGATTCCCAAATTCAGTAATAAACAAGATAATATCTCGTACTAATATAAGTGTAGTTAAAAAGTATTTACGACGGTCCTAAGCCCGTTAAAGTATGAAGGGAAAATGGAAATCACTTTTTAGTAAATACTGAGTTATCAGCCTTTTGATAAGCGCGAGCGACAATGACAGCGGCCGGTGGCCGGTCGCGGCGGTACTATTGGTTCGCGGTTTCTTTCAAGTTTCGTGTATCACTATCGTAAAACTGCTATTTTTTATTTAAATTAAAAACAACTTTCTCAATCTATTGTACTACTAAAATAGAATCATTTTACTGTGGGAAAACAACCATTAAAATATCACGGTGTATAAATGAACTGTAACTACACCCCTACCAACGATTCATGCCAAAAACTAACCCAAAATATAGTTACCCCTCTTTTTGAGGGGGGAAAATCATCTAATGACTTCTCCCGCCTTGGAATAGGCGAGAGGAGTGTCAGACTCTTACTAGACGGGTCCCAGCAACCCCTTATGATATCATTTATGTGTTCCAAAACAATAAAGATTATCATATTAACTGACCTGGGGTACATATTTAATCAGCGTGATGGAGAGCTTGATGTAACTGCAGTAGTAAAGGAAGTCGAGCCAGGCGAGTTTCCCGGCGGCGCCGACTCCGGCCGAGACTATCACCACTGCTGTAAACACGCCGAGAATGCTGCGACCTGTCGTTGATACTCGCTGGTCTTCGCGCTGGAACGAGGTAATGATTGGTTAATTTCTTTCTTTTATAGACATGACATAGGTGTAAGTACATTACGGCACTTAATACCACTGTACAATGTAACACGCACTTTTCGCTATTTATGTTATGAGTCCCATGTAATAGGGGGTGAGCCTATTACCATATACCGGGCACATTTTGACTCACCTCGTAGATGAAGCACTGAGCAATAGTGATGAGAGTAGCGAACGCAGCGTGCAGTGAGAAGAATACATCGTTTAGCTGTACCGGGTTCAGACCACGAGGGTGACGGGCGAAGTATTCACTCTGAAATAGAAATATATTAACAGTTAGTGCATTTTTACACATAGCATAACGTCTTTTCATTCCCAAAGGCGTAGGCAGAGATGCACATTACGGCACTTAATGCTACTGTACAATGTAACACCCACTTTTCATTACTTATGTTATGAGTCCCATGTAATAGGGGGTGAGGCTATTGCCATATACCGGGTAGCCGGGAACAATTCCAGACTCCGTGCTTCTATTGAGATTTTATTTTAAAACCCAGTAATACTTTGCCGGACCCGGGAATCGAACCCGAGACCCCTTGCCCGGCAATCGCACTTGCGACCACTCGGCCAGAGAGGCAGCGCATTAGTGCATTTTTCTTCATATAAAATAGCAGAACGCGAAAAACATCATGTATTCGACCTAGTAACTAACTCCTAAATCTTGTATCTTGGAATAAATACAAGAACGAAGTAAATCAGGGAACCTAAGTAACAGAGAGTTTTAGATATTTAAATTGACCGATAATATAACTACAAAATCATCTTTTCAAATTCAAAGCCAAATTCCTGACGATTAAAAATACCAAAAATAAATAAACCATACCTGAATATCCTTAGAGAAGTAAAGACCGCAGTTGAACAACGAATACATAGTGAAACCCATGATGTTCAGCGCTAAGAAGTCAAAATTAAGTCCAACGACACTCTTCCTCTTAAAGTTGATGTAGATTTGAGGGTAGAAGGAGACCGACCAGGCTGCGAAGTAGATCCAGCCCATGATGTAGGAGATTACGTTGATTGCGTGGGAGTGCATCACTGTGATACGGAGGAACACTGAGTCCATGCTGGAAGAGGTAATGGATTGAGGTACAATCGACGAATGTTACGGTTACCACAGTTGTATAGGGGTGGGCGGGGCTTCTATTTGTCATCATGCTTTAATTTTTTTTTTGTCTTTTTATTGCACAAACTTTACTAAAACTTTGTGTTGATTCTAGTACTACGTTTTAAATTATAATTATTGATAGGGTATTGATTAAGGCTAATGTACGGTTTGGATATAACGTGATGTGTGTAATCTCTATGGATTGTTTTGAGTATGTATAATTAAATCATTCATATTACAACCACACGTGGTTTTCTAATCTAGATTGTGATTGTGACACGTCACAATCACAAACTAGATTAGAAAACTCTTAAAACGTAAAAGTAACAAAAGGACAAAACACAAAATATTGTTTGTAACTATTTTCAATACTTACTTGACATATCCAGCTGGTGTCACGTTGAATGTGACCTCAGAATGTCCTGGACTCTTTGCGTATGCGCAGATATCGTATGTGATCTTCACTGTTGTGTTTGGTTCTTTAGACCCTGGAATGTCTATAGTTTGGGGGACAAACTGCACGATGTCTGGATGTTGGATGTTCGCCGTCACTTGTAGACTTTCATTGTATTGTCCACTGAAAATATTTAAATATTTTGTTAATAAATCATTATAAATAGATAAAAATAGTACATTAAGTAGCCTTTTGTTTTATATTATGTATTATATCTGTAACGTTATCTTTAAAGTGACTGTCTGTTAAACATCTATACAGAGGTGTGTCATACGAAAGACGCCTGCCTGTACGGATACAGATTCATCATAAAATTTTGAGGGATGTGACAATAACATAAACAATAATATTGTGTGTATGTATGTAGCATTATGTGTACTTACATTTGTATCAGTTTCATGAGATGCGTATCATCCACGAGGATGTTGAGATCCGTTTCACTTATATACAATTTTTCTAACTGGGAATGTGCACTTGGGATACCTGGAATACCAAAATCACTATTATTAGTATGGTTAAAGACCATATTTTCCAAATAAGTACCAAAGTTTAAAATTTATTCAACTGGATTGAACAAATCTGCGACTCAGTCAAACAATAGTTATGTCAACTCACCTAATAATATAACAAAAACAAAACACAGGCTTAATCTATGACTAGAAGATGCGCACGCGACGCCGCGCGGCTTCAATACTGTTGCAAAACCAGCCATCTTTATTCTGTCTGTTTGTTTATCTGTGGACAAAATAAAGACATTGTCAGTTGCTATTCGTAAATATTAGGTCATGGTTGTAATATTATCAAAATATATAGATTCAGGTTTTTTAGAACAATGTAAATTATTTCCGTGTTTTAATATAAACAAACAATATTATATTACAAAAAGCCGATGAAGAAAAACTAGTTATGTAAAATGTTAAAGATTATACTTTGTATTGTATAAAGTATTTTCTTACATATTCAAATAAAAACAAACATTTGTATAAGAAATACCCAACACAACGAAAACTCGTTATGTAGAACTGTTCGATGCAATAAATTTCCCAATCGAAACAATAAAAATGTATAAAGAAATTGTAAAACTAAAACAAAACATTTGTTTATAGGATTACATAACTTCTTCACCTTTTTAAAAAACTTCTTTAGGCACAGATTAAAAATATTAACAAAATATGAAACGTTGACATTTGACATTTATGTCAAAAATGGAACGGTAACTTATTCAAATATTGTTTAATAATAAGTGCGTTATTCCAATCTTTATTATTGATACGTTTTATCCCCGATTTTCTTATACTGCATGGAATGTAATCAACACGTCTTACTAAACATGACTTATTATACGAACTAGTCTCCCGAGACAAATGCACGAGTACCTTGAAGGCTAACTGGTAACTGTTGAGTACAGGCAGCAAAAGGTTTAGGTAAGTATACACAAACGCAATAAACTTAATAGAAATAATATTGTAAGGTTCAGATTGTATATTTGCCACAGGTAATTCTAGGGAAGAATGAGACTCAGATATAGGCAAATACTAAAATAACTTTGCTTATCTATTGGCCTTAAACCACAGATCCAATTTTAATGTGGTGTAGACAAAGGGGCGAGTAAAAGCCAGGGGGCCAGCAAAAGGGATGTCAGGACGGCAACCAGCCGGCTTAGTTTCAAAGTTAAGGTTCGTGAACTATTGCAGAGGGTACAGACAGACGCATCACGTACTTAATTTATCATTTTGGCGATTGTATTTAATATATATGTATAAATATATATATATATTATATGTATTTTATTCCCAATTTATTTATTCACTTTTATAGTATTGTTATTTAGTAATATTGATAATGTATCTTATGTAATTTACATTATACCTATATATACGGATATATGTATGTATTTACAGTTATGCATCACATAAACCATTATACCTATTACACCTACTGTTGCACATCTCTGCATCACCCCATGGTTGACTGTTAGAGAATGCCACCCGGCATTAAGTCCGCCATCGTATGTTTGCTATACAGAAGTGTTACTAAATAAAAAATAAAATAAATAAAAGCTAGCACTCATATAAAGTGTACGGAAGAACGACTGCAAAAACATATTGAGAAGCATTTTAAATATGTTCAGTATGTTCACACGCATTCGCATTCTAACACCTGTCCCTACACATGGGTACCGAACATTTCGTTGATTGTACTTTTTAATTACCTACCTTCCTACTCGACTTGCTACTTACATAGTATAATTGAATCACGAAATGTATTAATGAAGCAGGCAATACCGTGAAGCGAGATTCACAGATAATAAAGATAAAAGAATAATAAATAACAACAAATAAACACAATACTATAGGTGTGTACTATGTAATTGTAATGTCACAACAAGTTTATAGGCAAGTAATAGGGTAGATGCCTAATTTTTATTTTAATGTCCGTCTGGTAGAATATTTCAAATCATTAGACACGTATTTTTTATTTTCTTACAGAAACTTTCGATGATATGTATCATCGACGTGACGTCACTTCTATGTACATTTTATACATGGAAATGACGTTTAGCCCCCACTCCTAAACTTTGATTCGTTTTATCTAAGTATTGTTTTATTATACGACAGAATAAAAAAATACCTGTCATCATCCCAATTATAGAAATGTATAAAACAAAACCTTAAGTTTCCAATGCAAATAAAAATAACCCGAAGAATCATAACAAGAAAGAACAATCTTACATGTCTTTTTGTATCACACACAATACACATAAGCCGATTTTTACTAAATATTTGACTGGAATGCCTAAAAATCGCTTACTTAATGACAATTTACGTAAGGAACTAGTACTTCTGTGTTACGGCTAGGTCATTAACTAAACAAACAGACTATCTGACAATCAATACAATATCTACTCGTCTAGTAAATTAATCAAATATTTAGTCATTTATTATTATTTGTTTGACTTCTGTCGCCAAGCAACTGCTCAATAAAGGAATTAAAAATAAATATTGTTACGATAACGAATAAAAATGTATTATTATATAGTTTTTAAACTAGTAAATGAATACAGAATGAATAGACTAAATAAGATGGTTATACTTCAAGAAACCTATAGGAGTTTTTAGTTAAGACCTCCCTTTGAGATGAATCTATTATCACGCTATACATAATAATGCAGTCGCGGAGAACCTAACGGGTTTTTTTTTTTTTAAGGGCGGAGAATCATCGAATGTCTGCTCCCGCCTAGGTGAGGCGGGAGGGTGTGTCAGACTCTTACTGACTAAAAACCACCCCGTTCCTTCTCCTGCACGTCGAGCCGGAGCCCCGGTTACCCGTTAGATTCTCCGCGACTCCGAAAACGAGAAGTAATTTGATGATTTTCCCGCCTTCAAAAAATACATAATAATGCAACATATGAGGTAGTTAGATTGAAATACTATCAATACTTTACCTAGGTACATTTAAAAACAATCATCAATGAAATTCCTTTTAACAAACTCAATGAAGCCTATACATTGCAACTTAACTATTAAACAACCATATTATCAATGCCTCACGCTATAAGAACAGCTGTAAGTACATATAAGTGCATATAACACGTGGTACATAGAACATACTGGTACCAACTACCAATTAGCAATAAAACAGTTATCGAACGACAACTAAACGCATTGATTGTATTCATTAAACTTGATTCAAAAATTACCTTTGTTAAGAAATGGATAAGGTTTAAAGTTTAATAAAGAAGACGTAGCTTCAGAAAAATCAGAAAATTCAAATTCAAATTTTCGAATTAAATTTTTTTATTGCATCATTCATGGCTACGATGTTACATATTTGGGTAGATACTGTTTCAACATGAAACCCGGTTAGGTTAGATTAGTCCTCGACGCTGGCAGTATAGTCGACAACATCGTATGGGGGACTCAGTTGCCAATAAAGAAAAAAAATAGATTAGTACCTACCAACCTACCAATATGTAACTTTATATCGAAAAGGATAAGGTTGAAAGTGTTTTAAAGCATAGACACTTAGATAGCATCAAAAAAGGACTAAACTACCAAAATTTAGTCTTATAGCGAAATGGACAAGGTTTAAAATCTATTAAAGAGAGATTATTAATGTTATATTGATGGTGATCGTGTCTGTACTATGTTCTACAAGGCCCATAAATAGAAGGAAACCTTATTGTTAATTAAAAAATCATGTATGATCACAATGGGGATGATGACAAGGTATGAAAATTAAAAATATAATTAGTCCGTAAGTTAGGTAATTAAAAAATATTAGACACGTATTTTTTTATTTTGTCGTATAATGAAACAATACTTAGATAAAACGAATCAAAGTTTAGGAGTGGGGGCTAAAACGTCATTTCTTAGTATAAAATGTACTGAGAAGTGACGTCACGCGACATTTCGAATCAATATGTCGTCGAAACTATTCGTTTCCGTAAGAAAATAAAATATACGTGTCTAATGTTTTTAAATAATCTACCAGACGGACATTAAAATAAAAATTAGTCGTCTACCCTATTACATATATGTAAAAACTTGATTTATTAGTCCTGAGAGTAAGAGCAATCGAAATTAATGAATTACTCATACATGATAGATTAATCTATCATTATTATTTATAGGTAGGTGCCAAGAGTAAACAGTTACCTACCTATTACGAAAGTAGTATAAAAATATTTTATGATTAGACATAACACCAACTCAATAAAAAATCTGAATAATTTATGTAAACAGTGTAATAAATACCTAATACATAGAGGTATTGTTGTCTGAACATAAAAGATACAAATTATGACAATATAAATATTAGAGAGTTGTCATAATATTGTTAAAGCTAAACAATACAGTAAGTAAAATTTGTTTATTTATTTTTATATGCACAACACATAGACAGTACACAATCATAATTAATATAATTTCAAAATAGAAAAAAGTTGAAGACATTAAACTTAAACTCAAAAGCATTTATTTCAATTAAACCATAATTTGGTACTTTTGAAACGTCAACAAATATGAAATAAATAATAGTCTGTCAGTCTGTCCGTCAGTGAAGCTAGGCGCTCGTTCCAAAATGTCGATTCGAGTGGAGAAGAACGAGCAAGAAACTCCATTCGTTACTCTTTTAAAAAGGTTAATTGCTCAACCGAGCGGATATTAAACACAATGAATCGTAAAATATATTAATCACTGTTAAACAATATTAAATTATATTTAAAAAACTGCAAGACTTTTTATAACCCTACTGTCTGACAATCTACTAAGACCTGTGATAGACAGAAAGAAGAATGTAATTAATACAACCAAAAGTATACCCTATCTTCGATTACTTTAAAGTCCTATTTAAACTTTGCAGTTTAAATTTAATCATTATCAAACATAGGTTAAACATATGCTGGCCACTGGCCACTAAGGTCGATTTACAGCCCTTTTAATAAAAACAAAAAAGAAGTATTTACATGGCACAAAAAGAATAATCCACTACATACATACCACCGAAAGCGCGGAGGTTTAAGCAGAAGTAGTATTGCAATAAAAATCAGCATAAATGTAATAAAAATAATAGTTTTACCGATAAAATGGTTAACAACTGCATTTACTTCGAAAAAGAAAATTGAAACTTAACCAATCGTTGTTTTATTGGTTTGTTTCATGTGTTAACGTGATTGCATTCTTAGCTACGACATGGCAATGAGGATATATCTTGAGATAGCATCTCACGTCTCA